CCCCCCCCCGCCCCCCCCCCCCTCCAGTGGACCCCGTCTCCACAAGACTGTCCTGGCTTCCCCACCTTCCCCGTCCTCTGTCCCCCCAAGCCCACCTGTGATTCACCCACACCGCCAGTGGGCTGGGGAGGGGGAGGGGGATTGGGACCAGTACCAGCCTCTTGTCTGCACTCCATGCCCACCCAGCAGCAGAACCAGGAGCAGGGTCCCCTCCTGTCCCTCCCACCCAGAAATGCACTTGGCTCCTGGGCTGATGAAGATTGGGCTGGGACCAGGGGTTTTTAGGGACACTTGAGCTGAAGGTGGCGCCACCTTCCCTCCTCCTCTTCTTTGCCCCCCCCCTCCCCAGGCCTCACCGGGTCCCTGAACCGGGGCCACACCCAGACTGATGGCACCGGCAAGAGCCCCGTGCCCCCCCAACACCCTGGCACCCGGGATCAGACCTACCTGGACGAACTCATCAGCATCCCCAAGGGCAGTGGGGTAGGTGCTGCCAGGCTGGCACCTCCGTCTGAGGGCGGGCAGAGACGGGGCAGGGGACCGGTACCGCAGGGAGCTTGAGGTGGGGGGCAAAGGGCCACTGCAGGCCTGGGGCATGCCCTGGGGACCTCAGCATCCCCAGACCCAGCACAGGCAAATCACAGCCCCAGGCTGAGCATTTCGACGCTTCAAGTTTTCCAGATGGGGAAACCGAGGCACGGGGTGAGGTGCTGCCCAGCCGCAGGGACCGCTCTGCTGCTCACACACCTCCTGGGCTCCCTGTCCTGGGTCACCCGTGCCCAGGCCGGTGGGGCTCCCCCAGGCTGCCCGCACCTTGCCAACCCCCCATCCCCAGCCAGTTCCTGGGGGAGGAACGGAGAAGGGGAAGGGATGGGGGTTCCCCTGCCAGGAGGGGTGACAAAAGCAAGGCTTGGCAGTGGGATCCCACGGGGTGCAATTAATGGCGCCTGACAGCCCCAGGACCCCTCTGCAAAATCACTGTCCAGCCTGTCCCCCTGAGGGATGGGGGTCTCGCTGCCCCCCAGCACTGCTGCGAATGGAGAAGGGCTGGGGGGGCAGCAGTTCCCTCCCCAGAGTAGGCATGAGAAATGTCCTTCGTGTGCGAAATGCACCTGTGAGGGGCAGCACAGGGCTTCCCAGCAACAGGCTAATGGGGACTGGGAGTGCAACTGGGAAGCACTGGTTTTGAATGAGAGCTCCTTGCTCTGACCTTGCCACCTTGTCCCAGCCCGGTTTCAGCTTTAGGAAACTCTGGGCTTTCACCGGTCCAGGCTTCCTCATGAGCATCGCCTACCTGGACCCGGGCAACGTGGAGTCGGACCTGCAGTGCGGGGCAGTGGCGGGGTTCAAGGTGAGCCCTGGGCCCCCCAGCCCCGGGGTCAGGAAGCAGCCAGGGGTTTCGTAACCTCTCCAGCGCCAACGGCCGCCCAGCCCATGGCAAGCTGGCTTCCCCAGCCCGGGGAGCGGGAAGGGAACAGGGGGGCCCCTGGCACTGGGGGAGGGCACCCAGGAGTGCCGGAGGGCCACCCCTCTGCCTGGGCTGGGGACCAAGCCCCCCCAGGGATTCTCCCTCCCCATGTCCCCGGGCTGGCCGATGACCTTGCTGGGAGCCCCGAGCGGCCAGATCCTGCCCAGTGCCCAGCCCCTGCTGCCTCCCTCCCCTCTGCCCCCCCAGCTGCTGTGGGGGGTGCTGGGGGGCACCCG